CCTCACATATCTGCCACAGATCCAGATTTTATGGAAGCATCAACTACAAATGGATTCAACATAACCTTAAGTAACCAACCCCCCAACTCTCCAGACCTCAACATCCTAGATTTGGGGTTTTTTAGAGCCATTCAATCACTGAAAGAGGAGTGTGCTCCTAAGAATGTGACAGAGCTACTAGAAGCAGTAAGGGGTGCTTATGAATGCCTAACACCAGAGACTTTAAACAAAGTATGGTTAAGCTACCAAAATGTGATGCAAGAAGTCATGAATGATGAAGGAGGGAACAAATACAAGCTCCCACATATGGCAAAGGACAGGCTGACTAGACAAGGAGCACTACCAGTGTGTTTGGATGTACCCTACACATTGATAGAGAAGACTGTAAGGGTGCTTGGTCAGGCCAGTGGACAGAGTGAAGAGCCAGTGGTACATGAGTTCATAACTGAAGATGAAGAGAACTTCTCATCTTCAGAGATGAACTAAGTGTTTATCATAACACAGAATCTCTTCATATTTTGGGAATGATTGGGTACATTTATCTTTTGCTTTTTGAATTTTGTAATTGTAGGTTGTAAATACTGAAGAGTAGGAAAGTAAGACCTTGACCTTTTTGTTTTCACATCAAGGCAACTACTCAATATGTACCCCAGTCAGTTTTCTTTGACTACCACTCACTCTATGTACCCTAACAAAAATCTTGAACATGCAATGTAATTTCCAAAATCATCATAGTTGTGTATGTACTTCTAATCATGCATAGGCTAAAAAAAATAAAGAAAAACTTCACTTTGTAGTCTCGGTAGGACAGCAAGGCTGGAAATCGCTGGACCTCGCCAACCCCTGTGCCAATGGCATCGGAGTGGCTGCCCATTTCAGCATCAGACAGTTCGTTTCTATCCTCCTCCTCCTCAATGAATTGGTCTTCATCCAATTCACTTCCAAATCCTTGCATGGGCACATCCTCCAACTCGCTTTCCTCATACTCACTGTCGGCAATGACCCAGTCGACGTTTGGAAGAGGATTGGAGTCAGATCCAGCATCATCCGACTCACTCTCCCCCTCCTCTGTGCCTGAAGCGTCTAAATTTTGATTCTCTCTGCCATCAATCCTCGGATTTTCAGTGTTCATTCCTTGGGATTCGGACTCAGTTTCAGGGATCTGAGAAAGGAGAAAGGAGAAACCCTAATCGCTGGGAAACGCAATTTGAGTTTCAGGGATCTGAGTTTCAGGGATTTGAGAGAGGAAAAGAAAGGAGAAACCCTATCGCTGGGAAACACTTAGAGGAGGGAGGCCCATTTCAGCATCAGACAGTTCGTTTCTGTCCTCCTCCTCCTCAATGAACTAGTCTTCATCCAATTCACTTCCAAATCCTTGCATGGGCTCATCCTCCAACTCGCTTTCCTCATACTCACTGTCGGAGAAGGGAGGCGGAGAAGTGTAAGAACGAAGGTGTGGACGGTGAAGAATGAAGATAAAGGGGTGGGTTGGATATGGGGTGGGTGAGTAATAAATGTTTTTAACTTTTTAGGGGTATTTTAGTCATTACATGTGTATTTAAAGTGTGTGGGAAGATGATTTTAGGACGGGAAAAAAAGGGAAGTGGGAAGATCAATATAGGACGGAGGGAGTACTATACTTTTTTGGTAATGTATATGACCATGTATGGTAATGTAAGTTCTATTTCGAGAATAAAAACATGGAAGTCCTATTTTGGTATATTTTCAATGTTTTAGTCCTACTTTGGTCTTTCTCCCTAAATACATACAATAACCAGAGTATATATTCTATTTAATTAATCGTCAAAATATATTAATTTTGACTTTAAATAGTCAAAAGGGTGAATTATATCAATAAGGCAATTTGTAGCGCTTCACTACCACTCACTCCAAAACAGTAGTCATTCAAAGTTACATCAGCACTGACTACACTCATAATATTTTTCTTTTTACTTTTTGATAGAAAATTTGATGTAGTTTTACATTAAAACACAATTCATACATTGAGTTTTCAAAATAAGTTAATCACGTACAAATATAATTTTTAGAAAAATGATGGGTGAATTTTCAAAATAAGTTACTCCGTATTCATTAAGAAATATTAAAAAAAAATGGAAGAAAAAAGGGAGAAAATTGTTGCCCTGTCGGCCTGTCCAGAGCCTTTGAGCATATGTACCCCGGAGTAATATTGTTTTTACTTATTTTATGGAAAATTTAATATAGTTTCAAAAACATAAATAAAAATGCAATTGTTGCGCATTGAATTGAATTTTCAAAATAAGTTATTCATGAAGGAAAATATAAATAGATAACGAAGAAAGTGTATGATTTTTTGAAATTTAAAAAAAGAAGAAAAAAAGAAAAAAAGTGTTGGTCTAACTGGGAGCCCTTGGGCATGTAATATTTGTTTTTACTTATTTTATAGAGAATTTAATATAGTTTTAAAAAATTAAATAAAAATCCAATTCATACAATGAATTTTCAAAATAAGTTATTCATGAATAAAAATATAAATAAAAGATATTGGTCGAATTGGGAGCCTTTAAGGCCCAGCCTGACGCATTGCCCCCTTATCTAAAGAACCAAGACCTCTAGCCCTTCGAATAGAGACCTTGGCCCAACTCTCAACATGGATTAGGCAGGCCAATAATAACCTCCCACGGCCCGACCTGAAAGAGAGGTCCAACCATTCCAACACCTTATAACTCCCACTTGGGTTACGAGCTCGTGTTACCAAGCTCAGCGAACTTAATAAGAAAACATCTTTGTTGTGTGAATCCGATGTGGGATTTCTTTTGTTTTTCTTTGTAAGGCTATTTAACATTTGTACATTAATTAAAAATCTCCACTTCATTTTTTCCACAATCATATATTCATGTCCACTCCAATCGATTGAATTAGTACGTCCCTTCTATCCAATACAAATACTCTGCCTTCTCAGTACGATAATATATATACACCAAAAAATATTTTAGATAAGTTTAATATGTTAAGCTTATATGATCTAGCAAATAAATTTTAAAATATTCGCTTCTCGTTTCAAAATAAAATCATTACATTTTAATTTTTGCTTTGTATCAAAAAAAGGTTTACACTTTCCTACTTTTAAATCAAGTAACAAATTTGGGGCTTATAATGTTTCTCTTTTTTACATCAATTTTAACCATGTATTTTTTATATTTCAACATTTTTAAATATTTTATGAAGTCAATTTGAGATACTGTATTTTGAACAAATGCTTCTTAAATTATATTTAGGAGACTCTCTCTCATCTTCAATGTATTTATTCAATTTGAATTTTTATGTTGAATTTAAAAAATTTAAATTTAATAAAAATGACTCTCTATGAGTATTTGTCTAGTTTTGATTTTTAGTAGTCAAGCTAATTGGACCTTTAAACTATAATTAAATAAAAATTACTACGTACATCCTATATTAATTAGATAAAAAAATATTTCAAAAGTATTTTAAAGGGTAAATCTACTAAAATTATCCTTGTATAAATGTATAGTAATCAGAGTATATATTTTATTGAATTAATGGTCAAAATGTATTAATTTTAATTGTAAAAAGTCAAAAGGGTGAAATACTTCAATAAGGCTATTTCCGCCCCCATTACCTCTTACTCCAAATCAGCTGGCACTCAGCGCCATATCAGCACTAGCTGTAATCACAATAAGAATGAGATCTTATGAAAGAAATAAGAATGAATCTCACGCGTTGGATGGAACAAGTAAGATAGGCATCTCATCACACTAAATAGGGGCAAATAAGTATTTACCCCTCATTTACGTTGCTCCCTGCGTTTATCTCCGTAAAATCATCGCATCTATTCCTAATTCTCCGCACACGATCTGATTTCATTTCCTTTATTCAAGATTTTAATTTCATTCTATCTACGGAGTTTCTAATTTGTGAACATATGTGGATTGCCTTCAATGATCAACTAAGGGGATTTAAAGGTTAGACCTAATTCATTTATGGTTTCATACGTGATGTTTTAATTTTTTTGTATGCATCCGTTTATGTTTCTTTAAATTAAAATCTTTCATGTCATACCACCAAATAATTGCACACTGCATGTTTGATAAAATGTTTCAAAGAGTTTTTTAGTGAAATCTTCTTATAGCATTTTAATTTTGGATGATTTCATTATATATTTTCTTTTAGCCTTCTGATTTCATTTTGTGGAATCTTCTTCTAGCCTTCTAATATAAGTTAAATTTAAATTTCTTATATCATTATATATTTATTTTTATTTTTGCATAGTATTGCATTTTATGTATATTACAGTGCATCCTGAGATGCAAATACTAATTTTTTTTTCACAATATCGCCTTGGTTGTGTATAAGTACAATTTTGTGGTTATTAAGGACTCGAAGATAAATATCATGTTGTATGCATGCTTAAAAATACTATGCTGCAAAAAACACATCACCACACCTTATATTTGTGTTGGTTTTTTCCTTGAGGGGCATAACAAGGACAATTTATTACACTGCTATGTAAATACTCACAATATGCATTATATGAAATATTCAGTACATTATATAGAATTTGCAATACATATTTTGTAACTTAACCTTGTGATTGCTCTTCTTTGTTTGTTAAATGTTGATGCTATTTCTAGCTTCTTTAAAGAGATCGATTTTGTTTGTTGGGACATCCTGGGGCATCTCGTGTGTATTGCCGGCGCATTTGCTTGGAAGAGGTGGTTCGGGCTCTCCGCGTGATGCGTAATGGGAGAGCTGTGGGACCAGATGAGATTCCAGTGGAGTTTTGGAAGCATGCGGGTCGTGATGCGTGGGTTTGGTTAACCAAACTCTTCAATGTTATCCTCCGTACAGCATGGATGCCTGATGAGTGGAGGGAGAGTCTCTTGGTCCCTCTGTTTAAAGGCAAAGGTGACATTCAGAGCTGCGAGAATTACAGAGGCATCAAACTGCTTAGCCACACCATGAAGGTTTGGGAGCGAGTTATCGAGTATAGGGTGCGTAAAGAGGTTTGCATCTCGGAGAACCAGTTTGGTTTCATGCCTGGCAGATCGACTACAGAGGCCATTCATCTCGTGAGGAGGTTAATGGAAGAGTATAGGGCTAGGAAGAAGGACCTTCATATGGTGTTTATTGACCTTGAGAAGGCGTATGATAGGGTGCCAAGGGAGGTCTTATGGAGGTGCCTTGAGGCGAGAGGAGTGCCCATCGTGTACACTCGCGCGATCAAGGATATGTACGATGGGGCTATGACCAAGGTAAGGACTTCCGGGGGCGTCTCAGATTCCTTCTCGGTAGGGATGGGGTTGCACCAAGGGTCTGCTCTTAGCCCTTTTTTGTTCGCCTTGGTGATGGACGTCCTAACTCAAGGTGTTCAAGACGGGGTCCCATGGTGCATGCTTTTCGCGGATGATATTGTGCTTATCGACGACACGCGTGAGGGACTAAACGATAAGTTGGAATTATGGCGCCTTGCCCTTGAGACTAAAGGATTCAGAATAAGTAGGAACAAGACTGAATACATGGAATGTCGTTTCAGNGACCTGCTATGTTATATGGGGCAGAGTGTTGGGCGGTTAAGAAGACTCATGTGCGTCGTCTGCATGCGGCGGAGATGCGGATGTTACGATGGATGTGCGGGAAGACAAGGTTGGATAGGATTTCGAATGAGGTTATCCGACGTCAAGTAGGTATGGCACCGGTGGAAGACAAGTTGCGGGAAGCGAGGTTGAGGTGGCTTGGCCATGTGAGACGGCGGGATGCTGACGCCCCTGTACGGAGATGCAAGAGGATTACAGTTATTGGGGGAAGTAGGGGAAGGGGTAGACCTAAGAAGAATTGGGAGGAGGTGATAAGACAGGATTTAGGACTTCTCGACCTGACTGAGGATATGGCCCTAGATAGGAACCTTTGGAGAACTAGGATTAGAGTAGCTGGATAGAAGCTCGGTGTTGTAGAGGTTGTTTTGTAGTGTGTTGTATTTGTTGGGAATCTTTTGCTATTGTTTGTACTTGTTGCTTGTACTTGGTGCCTTATCTGTGCTATACTGTGTTCTCTTCCATATTTTTGTGCAGGTGGAGCCGGGGGTCTCTTGGAAACAGCCTCCCTACTTCCGAGTAGGGGCAAGGTCTGCGTACACACACCCTCCCCAGACCCTACTGTTGTGGGATTCAACTGGGTTGTTGTTGTTGTTGTTGTTGTAACTTTATAATGATGTAAGAAATATTTTAATGTTTTTTGTGAGGGATGGACCATAAGTTTGATGGTTTCATGTATTGAGGTGGTGTATACTTTGTTATTATTGGGCTGCATGAAACATGTAGAGTTTTAAAACTTGCTGTGTCACTTTTGGAAAATGTCGCACGAATAACGGCGGGGCAACACCGGTAGCCCATACTTTAGAGTAGATGAAAACCATAGAAGGAATAATTTTGATTTTGCATTTTTTTATTGCAATTTCATGTTTTGAAGTACACTTTTTTGGTCGAGTGGCTTGAAATAGCACTATGTGGATTCATCCATGCAAACTAGAGTGAACATCTATGATTTTAATAGTTTTCCATATTTTTGTATTGTTTGGATTATGGTTACATAGGTATGCATTTCATTGATGTAAGAGTTGTATGTAACAAGTCAATAGTATTTCTAGGTTGGATTCACATCTGATCTAGTGCTTCATATGGTGATTAGAGTGCATCATTTGAGTTCAATTTTTTATTATGACTTTGCCCCACATGATCTGTATAATGAAGGGGTTAACAAATGTTCAGGGCTGAGAGGGGGTGTTGGGTTTGCTTGTCTTCTTGTAGCTCACATCAAGTACTCTGAGGTATTATGACTCATAATTATGGTATTTCTAAAGTATATATTTTATGACATGGATTTAAAAGGAGGCCTTTTTAAAGGTGATTTTTATGCTGATATAATTGCAGGGGTGAGCTGAGTAGCACTGAAACCAACAATCATTGTGAGAGTTAAGAAGTATATAGTCTCTATTGCATCCATGACCTCATTGCATCGTAGCAGAAGATTGAGGAGTGTACATGCTGTATCGAAAGTAACCAAAAAGGATAGTTGAGCACATTAACATTGAGGATGAGAGTTCACGAGTAGGAGTGAGAAACAAGAATGTTGGATAGAGAAGAGATCATGATGTAAACAATGGTCGGAACATCACGAAAGAGGACGGCCATCAGAAAATGACAATGATGCATCATCAAGAGATGCAGATGCTCACATTATAGCAATGAAAATATTTATTCTTAATGGGTTCTTATCCCGCAACATTAGGAAAATATTTGGCACAATTACTTTATACGCAAATTTGTTTTTATTGATTACTTCGTACATTTTTCATATTATATCATTGTGCATATGTATCATGTAATAATGCATATATGTTTGCGAAGATATTATTTACAAGGCAATTAATACATGGAAAGTGCCTTGTTCAATTTTTTGGTTTGTATATATATTTTGTTAATAAAATAAGCATCTAAATTAGTTTGGCCTTAGTTTTAGAAATTTAAAAGAGTAAACATGAAAATTTCTAAATTAATTTGGAGTTGGTTTTGTTTGTATGCTGTGTTTCACGTGAGCTTTGTGTTTATTTTACAGTATGTGAATATATTTCAACAACACTAATATATTTTCCATTAAAAGATGGTGTATATGTACAAGTGTGTAGTGCATACATACAAGTTCGTAATGCATATATATGTTTTAAGGACATAAGTTAAATAATATTACTATCAATTTTATCTTGGGTAATTGATACTCTATACCTAGTAACTTGCATAAACATTAGGTATCTCATGCATATATGCAAAAAAATGATACTTGGCATGCTGCATATTGAAACTTTGTGTGTTGCCTGTTCATATATGTTGCATAAACACACTATGTGTTGCATTTTTTTTATAATTAAAGAGTAGTTTTATTTAAAGGAGGCAAAAGGCAAAATGCTCGTACATAGACATGTAGATTACATACAAGAATAAATAAACATTACAGTAACGACTACATATACAGTCACAACATGAAACAAAAATGGACAAAAAAGAACATCTTGCTAACAAAAAGTGATCTGTGTCTACCCATATGAAATGGTGGATTCAAGTGTCCACATACAGTTTCCATGAAGGAAAGTCCAACAAACAACAAATCCCACGAGTCTCTAAGAGCCTGAAATATAAAAGAAACTGTGAGCAAAATGGCAGAGGAAGGTTGAACCTTGCAAAATACATGTTCCTTTAATCAAAGCATTTTAGTATAAAAAATTGACTTTGATATCTTCAATCCAACTCATCCCTCTTATCTTACATGTGCACGTCTAGGTGTTTAGAATGCAATACCAGTTTGTTAAATAGCACTAACAAATATGCATGCATTACTCATTTATCAGATGCATTAATATGCACTACTCATAAATGAATTCTAACAGTCTTCCATATAAAGTCTAGGACTAATGCAGAACTTTGCAGTCATTCTATACATGAACATGACAGGCTTATAATGCATCTACGACGACACTCAATGCATCAACGAAAATTAATACAAATCATTCATGGTAACCCTTGGTGCATATTCCCGGATATAAGAAACCACTCTTTAACATGTATTATCCTATTAATTAGAAATCCTTAAAATTCAAATAAGAGCTTAGAACCCTAATTTACAACATCACCAAAAATGCATATGTAAAAATATCCAAAATTCAAAATCAAAGTATAAAAAACCTCAATCCCATCCATCATTCGTACATCACCACACCTGTATTTGAATTTGATTTTAATTCCTTCATCGGACTATGTACAGTTCCACCATTATGCATCTCTGCGGCGGGTTTGTTCGACATAGCCAACTCATTCTCCAATGTGCGTGATTGTAGATGGAAGTGAATTCTACATGGAAAGTTCTATACTGGTCGTTGCACGTCTCTCTTGAAGCCGTAGATTTGGCAGATTTGGGTGGATCTAGGAGTACTAAATTTGCCCTTCCACGAATCATTAGAACTGAAATTTGTGCAATCTAATAATTCTTACCATATAAAAATTAAGATCTTAATTTAAAAGCTAAAGGAATCTTGTCCATCTGATGCATAAGATCTAAGGGACCATTTTTATTCTTATTTCTTTCATGGAGGGTCATTCTCACAGGAACCGGCCCCTATATATATATATATATATATATATATATATATATATATATATATATATATATCTGTGTGTGTGTGTGTGTGTGTGTGTTCTGGTGAGAATGCGATCTTATGAAAGAAATAAGAATGAATCTGGTGCTTTTGATTGTAAGATCGAAGGATCGGGATTGCATCAAAATTAGGTGCACCTAAAAGATTTGAAAATGCATCATGTCGAAATGCACAAAAATCCTTTGAAAATTCACTATCTCAAAATCTGAGTGCAGGATGCAATCTGAGCCGCACGATGCATCAGATCCAAAGGCTAGATTTCATTCTTATTTCTTTCTCCAAGGTGCATTCTCACGTAAACCTGCCCCATATATATGGTGGTGTTTGTGTGGGGAATGGCTTGAAAAATATGGAGATGATGAAGGAGTTCTTTTGGGTGTTTTTAATGAATGAAAAGAATAAGGTTAAGAAGAGAAATGGGGAGATATGAAATGGAAGAAAATCGGAGATGGATAAACCAAGTTTGTGTTTAAGAGATATTACACACTCTTATCCTAACTTAGGGTTTGAATCAAGAATTTAATTAAGATATGACACACTTAATCAAATATCTAGAATCTAAAACGCACACTTAAGATAACAACTCTTAAGATATAGAATTAGGAATTTGGCTAAAATAGCATTACACTATTTTAAGAATACTCAAAGAGTAAACAAAGTTTTTAATATTCAAAAGATGATTCCTTACAATGGCCATATGGCCTGATTATATCGTTAGGGGAAGGGGAAGATAATTCACAATACATTGCATGTAAACTTAGGGAAGCTTCCTAGCAACAACCTCTTCCAAAGCATGAGGTATTGTTCATTCAATCATGTCTACTTAGTGGAATAAAATCAGGGATGGGGCTGGAATTGTGGGGTTTTGGGTTTGTAGTGGTTGTTTTCCTGGGTTTTGTGGCTATTATTTGGGTAAAGATAGAGGGTTGTTTCTGGCCAATAAAGGGGGACGGTGGTGGGGAATATCATGGGTGTTTTGGACTTATGGCTTTGGGTTATTGTAAGGGAAACATGGGCAAGAAGTAGGGGCTGGAGGTGGGTCATGGTTTTGGCTCTTTGTGGGTGTTGTGTTGGGGTTGTGAGGTTTATTTGGCCAGGGAATGAAAGGAAGGGAGGATTTTATTTGTTTATTAAAAAGGCTTAAAAGAAGGAAAATATCAACAACAAAAAAGTTTTGGTATACACACTCTTATTTTCGGCCATGGGCTAAAAATAAGTGTAAGAAAACTTTATTTTGAAAGGAATTGGAAGGCAAAGAGTTTTGGATGTTTGGGGAAAAATATTGGAAAGTGTGGGTTCAACCTAGGGTGCATATAGGACAACCATGGGGTTGGTTTGGGTTCTAAGGTAGGAAAATGGAGTAGTTTCAACCCAATTAAGGTCACCACACTTTGGTCTTATTCCCCTGATCCGTCTTTCCGTTTGTGAGCTACGGAAAGTCTTCGGGCACGCTCCCGGATATATAACACATATAACATACCTATGGTTTGTAAAGGATGCACATTAACCCCCTCTAATGCTGATTTACTTCTTTTTCAGTATCCACGCACTAGGCATGCAAATGAAAATCATTTTTTTTAATTTTTATTCTCTCTATTCTAGAGTATTTGTCTAATTTTTTCTTTTTGCAGTTAACTCGAGTCAACCTTTGCCTTATGACTATGTAAAAATTGCATGATATATAAATTGGATAAAAACATTTTGAAAATATTTTACAAAAAAATCTAATAAAATTATTCGTGTATTAATATTTATTACCAAGTGTAGATTTTACTCCCTCTATCCCAAACTATATTTTACCCTCCGTGCAACAAATATAATCTCATCACTTTTAAAATTATTTTAATTAAAATTTGGTATAAAAATAAAAGTTACAAATTACAGAGTTTTATTTACACCGTCCAAAAATATAAGAAACAACATAATACAATTTACATTGTCCAAAAGTATATAAAAAACTAGAGATTACAATTTACACCGTCCAAAATTGTATGGAGTACAATTTAGTTAGAGTGCTGAATTTCATCATCTTTTACTACCTATTTTTTAATGCATTAAAGTTTTTTTGCGCCGTTGTTTTAAAAAGAAATCCCAACTTTTATCAAAACGTATACCAATTTCTCTTGAATCGAATCGTATAGGACCAATATTTTGGGATGGGTATTAGGAGTGAGCATCGAATCGATTCAGCCAGGTTTGGGTCAAAATCAAACAAATCAGATAGTTTTGGGCATAAAAAAATCAATCGAAACCGAACCAATGTACTTGAATAACCAAAAAACCAAAACCGATTAAACCGAATCGGTTTCGGCCGGTAATTAAAAAGCAAATTGCATGTCTCTATCGGTGTCGTCGTCTTGGACTCTCTGCGAAGAAGGCAGAACGGAGAAGGCAGAAATCAAAAGCAAGTAGGCGGAGACGCGGAGTAGGCGGGAGTCGCGAAGAGGCAGAGAATTGAGCTGATTGAATCACATAAGCTTTTACTCGATCCCAATCAGAACGCAGAAGCTTCGGGAAGACGAGAATCGAGAGTAGGCAGAGACGCAAAGTAGTGACCAAAACCTAAAATTAGAATCCCAAATCTCAAATGCAGCCGCTGACTCCACTAACGAAGACGCCACCGAAAATTTCATAGGGACTTTAAAAAATTCATATTATTAATTACAGTAGAATACATAAATATTGGTTTACCAAAGTACCAAACAAAGCTTTTTTTTTAACGAAATTTTTATTCAAATACGAAAAAAAAAGAAAA